AAGCTTATAGTGTTGGCGATATTTTATCGTATGCTAAAAAATATGTATTACATACATGTAAAACATGTATTTTAAAAAATTCAGCACAATATAGCCGTTCAGATACTTATACATACAAAATCAGATTACATATAATATGAAATATTTTTATTGAATATTATTATCTCTTCTCTGTAAACAGGTGTGTTTTTGAAGATTGTATGTATGTATGTTGTTTTTACGTCCCATTCGAGAATTTTTCACTCATATAGAGACGTCACCATATACCGGTGAAGGGTTTCAAATTTTGACCTTTACTCGGCACTCAGGGCCATTGAGCAGTGAGGGATCTTTATCGTGCCAACGCCTGCCGTGACACGGGGCCTCGGTTTTTAAGGTCTCATCCGAAGGACCCGCAACTTTCACTTCAAAGTGCCGAGCGCATGGCGAAGGAACAGTTGCTACCCATTTTATCGACTTGGGTCTGTCGCGGCCGAGATTCGAACTCACGACCTCCCGATCACGGAGCGAGCGCTCTACCGACTGAGCTACCGTGAACGGTCTGTGTTTTGAAGAGGATATTGAAGGCGAAAAGGGGCTCGAATAGCCGCCAGTTTTTTTTTTCTTCGGAAAGCTGTACAGTTATCTTGGACGACATATCGCGTACAAGTACAGTGTACAAAACAGCAGTGAAAATAAAAATAATGAACTGAAAGTTTAATTCTCTTCTCTCAATTATTTTGTGAAACATAATTACCAACAAAGATATAAGTTTTTACCAGAGTGTATACAAAGCGACTTTTCAAGCGGTACATGAAAGCGTTTGACGCGTGACCAGGTACGTGTAATTGCTTTCAAAACATGCAAACTCAGACTACAGTATCAGGTAGCGCAGGTTGCTGGCCTGTCAATCAAATCAGCAGCTATTGTTTTATTTTTGTATGATTGTCGGGCGGTAAGTTATCGATCTTAAGCTAGGTAGATTTTGTGGGCGTTAATGGAAAATTGGGTGTTTAATAAAAAGCACATGTACTTGTCATATGCTGGAGTTACAAAACTATAGTCGACAGAGTTTTTTCACATAGCATGTTAAAAGTTGGTGTAATCATAAAGATAGGCATTTTAAAAAGAAAATAATGTAAAAGTGTTTAGCAATGCGTCTTATTGTTTTCAAAATATATCTCTTTTGAATTCTTTGTCTACAAACCTTGTGTGTCAAGTTAGAATTATCTGCAGAATTAACCACACGCAATGAATCTCCGAATTAAACACATAATAACACATAATTGAGAAATAAATCGTTTATTAAATACATGTATGCAGTTTAAAGATTAGGATTCATGAAATCGGGGACCTTTATACGTCCTTAATCAAATGTTTTGGATTTAAATTAAATCAAATTAAGATAAGAATAAATGATTTAATTGAATGATCCGGTATGATTTAAAAAATAATTTTCCGTAAATCGTGTCAGCAAAATGAATATAGAACGACAATGTTTTGTGTATGAGCACTAATAGCTGCTTCCTCGGCTAAATAATTAGGTTACATAATTGTAAACAAACACAAAACCCGGGTATATGTGAAACGCAGTTAAATACAGTAAAAGATTGATTTATTTTTTGCTAACTTTTTTTTTTAATTTAATATAGTGTATGTTTCAACATTAAACGACGAAAAGATGTTTTGTTTACGAACGCAGGTCGCTGGTTCACACGCAATGGATCTCTTCTAATTTCGGCCACAATAATTTAATAAGTATATCACCAACATGACCAACATAGATAAGATGAAATAATTTGAAAGATCCGATTTGACTAAAAAAGAAACAATTATCCGTACATAGTTGAGTTTGCAAAATAGATTTAGAACGGCAATGCCTGTTTAGTGTATGGCCACTGATCACTGGATCTAGGTCACGCGTGATCGGGGGATGGCCGGTTACGTAATTATAAACAAAAACAAACCCCGAGACGTATTGAAAATGTGTGACTCAATAATTTGGAATGAAACCACAGAACACGTAAAAACTTATTTTAAAGTAGTATTAGTATTTATTTTGGAGAGGTTTATCATTTATAGCAAGTTTATTTCAGTTATGCGCATAAAGATTTCACCTTCACTTGTCTAATGAAACTAGTTACCTGTATATGGGTCAAGCTTCTAGCTCATTTATTAAAAAAGACTCGAACAAAATAACAAGTTCACGAGATCAATAATATGTTAAAGAACAACTTTTTTAGCGACAGCTATATCGAAATATTTACCGTTTTTGAGTTATAAAACGAAAACTTTCAAGGACCCTAGATCCCTAATTTAAGGGATCAGCCCCTTTTTGGAGGTGCCAAATGAAAGACCTTAAAATTGTGCACAACTTTTATTCAACATGTCTTAACAAAATATTTTTAGTTTAAAAGATACATAGGAAAATATGTGTAAATTTTCGCGCTTTTCGGCGTTCTAATTTTTGACCCCTATCTAGCGCCATTTTGAACACAGGAATCAAAAAACAAAAATAGATGTGCACAACTTCAATGCTTCTATTATTTAAATTCGGTAGAATTTCTACTCCAGCTTTTGTAGTCTCGGAGCCTTTATCCGGAAATGAAGAGTCCTAAATTTTCATTTAAAGGGAGATATCTCAAAAGCGGAAATGGATTTTTGACATGTTTGACAGCATTCTGATAGAGTTTTGTAACGTCTATAAACCTTGCAAATTTGAGCAAAATCCGTTGAGAAATGAGCGATATATGAGGCCTCAAAGTTGGCGTCTAGAAAGGAGAAGAAAAAAAAAAGAATAATAATCTTAACCATCAGAATCAGTAGAAGGTCTTCCGTTGTGACGGAAGACCTTAATAATCTTAACCATCAGAATCAGTAGAAGGTCTCCCGCTGGAGCGGAAGACCTTAATAAATTGCTGGTCATCCTACCATGTTTCAGCAATAAGTGAAATGATGAATAAAATTACATTTTGCAACTATTTCACCTTTTAGATATTGCATATTCCAAATGTAAAGATATTTATACTCGTATGTAAACGTGATTACGTTCAACGCATGACTTTGAAGTCATAAATAACGCCATAAACGCAACATTTTGGCAATATAAAAGCAAACTTTGAAATTATTTAGCAAAAAAAACTAGCGAGAAGACATATTGATTTTTTCATCTCAATAATTTTAATTTTACCTCATCTGGATATTTTGAAATTCCTGACTAATTCGTCTACGTCTTTAAAAAGTTATCCAACCTTTTCTAAAGAAACTCTTTTCGCAAAATTGGCTTAAAAACGTCATTTTTCTATATATTTCAATAGTAAAACGTAAAAATAGTACTAGAAACTATACCGCGTTTACAGTAATACGGCAATCAAACTACGTAGACAAATTTAATAAAAATTACAGATAAAATGCTATATATTCTAAGGAACATTATATCAAATTTTCAGGATATGTTTTCTCGTAAGAATTTTTAAGCAGTAAACCCGCGACCTACCTTAAATATACATTTAATTGAGTTATTATAGATATGTTGTTTTTTTTTACTGCCTTATGTAAATACAGGGATACTCTTTACAGGTTGTTGGATATTAAGGAATTATCTTGAAATTTTATAAATACAGTTGTTATTGCATATTCTTCTTCATAATTATATTTTTTTAATTTTTGTAATCAATTAAAATTCTCATTTTGTAAGCTGCACCCTTATATTTCTACCCCTCAGCGGGGCCCTTGCTGACTGGTCAGTTTTCTAGTTAATTGAAAGAATTGTCTGTCCACTTCATCAAAATACAATGTACTATGATGTTCTCTTGCGCAGAAGATGCTCATGATTTTAAACTATACCATCTACACAAGATGATGGCCACAGGAATTTCCAATGTAGATTTTCTGTAAAAAATTTTTTTTAGTCCTTTTGGTCATGCAAAGACCATAAGAATTTGTGAAATATAGTAAAGTGTTCTTGAAAAGAAAATCAGTAAACAATTTTATTTTGTTCAAATTGCTACTCTTCTTACAGCTTTGGTCCAATTTCAATAGAATTTGGTACACAATTAGACATCAATAAGATTAATGTGCATAATTCCATATACATGTACATGTATATATATTTGAAATTTTGATTAGACTAGAGAAAATATGAATTTCTTTGAAATTCTTACAAATTCTACTCTTCCTACAGTTTTGGTATGATTTCAGTAAAATCTGGTACAAAGTAGACTCTGCAAAGATACATACATATTTTTTTTTATATATTTTGATTTCAACCAATGCTGTATCTATGGCATAAACTGAAAAAAGAAATTTCCTTTAAATTCTTTCAAAATGCTACTCCTCCTATAGTTTAGATCTAATTTCAATAAAAACTTGTTACACAAGTAGACAACACAGGATACAATGTACAAAATTCTGAATACATGTATTGGATCTTGGTTTTAACAGAGCAACCATGGTGAATAAAAGTAGAAGTTTATGTGAAATTCAGTTTTGATCTGATTTCAGTTACAATTAGACTAAACCAAGGATCATATTAGTTCTATGTATCTGTGTTGCTGTAGGAACTGAATTTCAAGTGCAGATGCTTTTGTACTATTCCTTTAGTATACAGCAAAACATGCTTATAGCAAAGTGCCAGGGACGAAACAATATTTTGATTCATTATTAATATAATTTGTTATATCCATGAAGGTAATTAAAACATGTACATGTATGTTTTAAATGTACATGGAATGAAAATCACTTCCCTTTAAGCTTGAATTCATTTTAAGTATTCCTTATAGCTTTGTTTTACTGTAAGTACAAACCAGTACAGCTTCAGTCTTATCAGAGACTAGAATTTATATACTAATTTAAAAGGGGAGTTGTGATGTTTTCTGGAACTCCTCTAGTTACCGTAAAAATGATTTATGTGTGTTTGTTGAAAACACGTATTCAAAAGTATTTGCTCTTTGTCTGCCTGGTCTGTGTCCCTAATTTATCAGAAAAAGAGTTCGATATGAACAATTTTTACAAAATTTCAGATTGACTTTGTCGATGAGCTACCTAAAACAGTGAGTGGAAAAATCCGCAGAGTTGAGCTTCGAAACAGAGAATGGGGAAGAGATTAAATGACATTAAAGTCCTGAATGTCAGCAAAAGATTTGTAAAAAAAATTTTTATGCTGACACATTTAAGTGGGTTTCAGATCATCTTATGACCTTACAAGTGGTTTCCAATAGGCATTAAAATGCATGTACATGCAGTTGCAATGAATTCATTGGCACTTTGATTGTTAATGTTCCATGAATAGTTGTATCCCTTTGGAACATAAAGTTCACTAAACTAATAATGAAGAGCATATAACCAGATACATTTCAACCAGTAAACAATTTCATTTTTTTTTCTCTCCCTCTCTATATATATTATACACCTATTTACTGGCTATGAGGACAATAGCAAGTTTATCGTTCCCCAAGACAGCAACTATTTCCCGAGGCGCAGCCTCGGGAAATAGTTGCTGTTGAGGGGAACGATAAACTTGCTATTGTCCGAATAGTCAGTAAATAAGTGTTTTATTATACCGAAGCAGTCTTTACTTGTGTTACGTCACAATCTGTATAAAACCAGAAGAGTTCCGAGATGAAAAGCGAGGGAAACAGAATGCTGCCGGTGAATAGTTTAATGACTATTTCACCATGGGCAAATAGCACAAAAACTATTCCACGGTAGGGGCTGTTTGGAAAAAATAACATGTTTATTCGTAATATTTTTATATAGAAAAAATTCACAGAGGTATAATAAATATGTATATATCATGTATGTATAATCAATAAGTATACTAGTTCATTTACATTTACATATTTTACTAAATATTCATTTAATATGAACATGTAGATGTAAAAATGTAAAATGTTTGTGATAATCCAATACTGTACATGTATTAAGCAATAAAAAGGAACAGTTTACAGGAATTCACATCAATTTATTGTTTTTCAATATTTTTTTATGACTGTGTAATATATAGTGTACAAAAAAGAACCATTCAAACTGAAGAAAATATACATGTACAAACAATATTTCAATTCTAAAGAGGTTCCAACTTTTTTGGTCCTATGCATGTATCCCGAAAAGGGCAACCAAATGAAGGATTTTTATGGGCTGCTGTTCATTTTTTGTAAAACTACATTCTTTCAGCCTTTCTATGTGGCATTGTATTTCTATATATTTAAAGGTTGTACCATGCAGAGTATCAAATGCTCAATATTTAAAGGTTGTACCAGAGTATCAAATGCTCAGAATTTTATTTTCTTGAAATATGTTTTTTGTGTGCTTTTTTAAAAAGTATTTTCATTTTATTATTACATTAATTTGATACATGTAGCAGTATGTTTCAGTTATTTATTATGATACATACCTACCCAGTACAGCTTGAGGCACATCAGGTACAAAGTTATTCTAAATTGCCCTACTTCTTTTGAGAAAAATGTCTTTTATGAGTGAATATGTTTTGATAATATTTTAATTTTTTCTTTGGTCTTTTTTAGGACTAGAAATCTTCATAACCCAACCCTCAGGAGAACATTTTGTCTATTTAAAGCAATATGATATGCTACATTTATTTCAAAACAAATACAACACATATCATAATACTTCTAGCAAAAATTGCAGTGATTTTAATTGCAGTGATTCTAATAATCATTATGATAATCTTTGTGCTTCTTAAATTAATGAGATTTTAAACATTCACCATCAGTATCTTTGACCTTTCATTATTGAAAATAAGCAAATTTACAAATCATGTCATTTTCAGAAAATTTTATCCATTCAATTTTCTTCGTTAATATGTTTCTGATTTAGATGTTTAAATTTGGATATCTGTTTCTGGTGTATCTTGGATCCAGGGTAACATGATTTATATTATTTTTTGCAGTTTTGGGGACAGATTTTCAAAGAATACAGCATATCTATAATTATTCCACTTATGGAGGGGTCCTGGCTCTTTAAACAATTTTTAATCCCTGCAATCCAAAGAGATTGCTCAGTCATTCTACGATAAATGGACCAATTCAGAGTAAAAAACATGAAAAAATTATTATTTCAAATAGCAAAATGAACATCATAATTCTCTAAAGGACATATCAGTGAACTTGAAAACAAAAAATTGCCCACAAATCTGGCATCATTAACTTTTTACAACAATTTCAAGATACCATTGATACGGAAGTTAATGCTTGATCAAGCCTCATTATTTTTTAAATAAAGCTGAATTTGACCAATTTTTCGTTTCCGATGTTCATTAAAGAACGTTAAATTATGATTCATGAAGTCTTGCATGAATCCGAATTTAAATTAATTTTTCGGAAAAAATATCGTTACGGAAGTTAATCGTTACGGAAGTTAATTCCCAGCAATAAAAGTAAAAATTCTCTTCAATAGTTAAAATCAAAGTTTGGTTTCGGATATTAAACAAAAGTATGAAGCATTTCGCTCCCAAAATAATAAAATTTGTTATTCTTTTATTGCAAAAACTTTCCTGAATTACCGTTACGGAAGTTAATTTTTTAAGAGAGACAACTGTTTCCTGTCTATTTCATTTTGATATGTCGAAAATGTAATTGTCTAAAATAGCTGACTCGCAACTAGAATCGATGATATAAGGCTCCGTGGTCACTTTCAGATAAGTTTCAGTTCTTTTTGAAATCTGCATTCTATGCGTGAAATCTAAAACAAAATCGTTACGGAAGTTAATCGATTTTAAGCGACATGCATATGAATTCGAATGAAAGGAGATCTATGCATTTCTTTGCGAGAAGTGGTTTGATTTCTTTTTATATAGGATAAAAGATATTTTTTAACATTCATTGTAGTCTATTCGGAACGATTTTACTACTGAAAATTTCATCTTGAAATTTGTATATAAATGAAGCGACATTAAGATTTGTAGTGGAATACGTTTCCACTACAAATCTTAATGTCGCTTCATTTTCAACATTACATTATGTTCATAATAAAACTTTAACTGCTTTTTTATCGGTGAATATTTACAAAACCATGTGTGTATGTTAAGTCTTAGAGTTGAAATCGACCTTAAAATTTACAGCTAAGATATTACAACGGTAAATTGGTAAGCGACATCAAAAATTCTTAATTGGTCATGTTTTTGTAGAATCACTGTGCTATGTTAAGTTCTTGATGTTTATGGCTCAGATGAGCTAAAAATGCTAATACATGTATTTAAATAAGTTTTAGTGTTGATAATCCCTTGGCATAAAATGTCAGAGTATATAACAGTAATACTCATGCACAGTACATGTATATACTATATTATAGTGATTTTATATTTACTTACAAATTATACATAAATCCAAGACTGTTTACAGGTTATGTAACAAGACCATTTATAATAAAATATATAGATGAATATCTAATAGGGTCAGATTGATTGTTTTTTGCTAATGTTTACAGTCAGAAGAAGTCGGGCAGGTTTTATCAAGGGTGGCCAGATAGCTCAGTTGGTAGAGCACCTGAATAGTGATTCAGGAGGCAAAGGTTCCAATCCTGGTCTGGTCCATCATATTTTTCTCCTCCCAGGTTACATTTAGTGCCTTGACCTGCCCTGGAAATGAGAGGTGAAATATATCTGTCAGAGAATAGCCTTTGTTGGTGTCTTTGCGGGGCAAAAACTTTTAAGGAAGGAAGAATTTGGCAGACAGGCAGTTTTTATCATGGCCAGATAGCTCAGTTAATAGAACACCAAGGTAGTGTTTTGGGGTGGGGTGGGGGGCTGGTTCAAATCCTGGACTAGTCCATTGCATTTTTTGCCTCGCTGGTTACATTGGGTGCCCTGATCTGCCCTGAAATTGAGAGGTGAAAGACCTGCCATGTTAGTGGTGTCTTTGAGAGCAAAGACCTTGAAGGAGGAAAGAATGTTGGAGTCTGGCAGGTTTAATTATTAGCTCAGTTGATAAAGCACCTGACTACTGTAGAATGATTAGACATTGTGGTGGGTCACTTTTCGTGGGTACCATTCATCCATGAATTAACATTCTCCACAAATTAATAAACAATGGTTACAAAGTCATATATTCTCTTGTCTGTATAAGAAAATACAGTAGTTTGAATCCTGGTCTGGTCCATCTTATTTTTCTCTGCGCTAGTTACACTACAAACTACTGTAAATCTATATTGATTATATAGTGAATGCATTATTTCTTTAAAAATCTTCTTCTCTGTTCCTGGAAATTTACCAGATAAACCAAGTGCATGGATATTATCAGCAAATGTGCCTTTTCAAAAATTGTGCAATTTGTGGCCCGAGTCAGGGGTTCGGGGACCTCTATTGATTAAATAGTGAAAAATGCATTGTTCCATTGAAAATCCTCTCCTCTTCTCCTGGGTATTAAGCAAAAAAAAAAAATGCATAGCTATGATGAGCAAGTGTGCTTCTTCCAAAACTGTGAATTTCATGACCCTTTGGTCTGGGGTTCTAGTGTAAGGATGGGCTCTATTGAAGATATAGTGAATGCATTATTTCTGTGAAAATCTTCCTCTCAGCTCCTGGATATTTAGCAGATTATGATAAACTAAGTGCATGGTTATGATAAGCAAAGGTGCTTTTTCAAAATTGAGAAATTTGTTGCCCCCAGGGTCTGGGGTTCTGGGGAGGGGGGGGGGGAGGCTCTATTGATTATATAATGAAAATGCATTATTTCTTTGAAAATCTTCTCTGCACCTTGGGCAACTAGGAGGCAAACAGATTACAGAGCTGTAATAAGCAAGGGCATTATTACCAGAGTTTTCAATTCTGGATGATTTGTTCATTATTTGGTAGTTTAGTGATTTGGTACTTTGCAAGGCTCTATTAATTTGTATTCTACTGAGAGAAATTATTCCCATTTCTATTCACCTATGATAATTAATCACTGTAAATACTGTAATTGAAAGGTCAATTGAATAAAAGTAAATACAAGGAATTTTATAATTACTTTCTTATGTTTTTAATGGTCAGAAAGACTTGTAAATTATACACTGTAGATATACA